GTCCGGACCTTAGTCCACTCTTCCTGCCTCTTCTTCCGCTTCTCCTCCAACTCTGTCTCACTCACGAACATTCGCTGCATTTCCATTATTTTTTAATATCAACTTCCCCTGCAATAAATAAAAAAAAAGTTTGGTTTCTCTTCATCTAAATCACAAAGCTCTAATGAAATTTCAAAAGAAAACCCGTAAGACTTGTTTCCGAACGCTCCAAACAGCATAAAAAAAAATTCGGCGTACAAAAATCTGGAAAAACTCTCACTTGCGGAAATACCGCTACTTTTGAGAATGAAGAAAAACAAACCGATGCTGAAACAAGAGCATAGATCACTGTCATTATTGATTGGCAGGACGTGGTCGTTTTTGCAACAGCCGACGCCCCTTCCATTTCGAGATCAGGTCAGGATCAAAACCTGGCTGATAATCGATTATCACCACTTTTTCGGCATCACCCGCCAGTTCTGGGAAACGTTTCAGCGTGAAACTGCCACAAACTTCGTCTCGAAGTTTACGCTTAAGCTCAGTTACCACCTTCAGAAGAAGAGGAAGGGGAAAAGAGAACAATTCATATAGATCAATGACAACGATTTCAGCAATTCGAAATCAAACAGCTCCCCCCGAGTAATGTACGCCATAGTGGAGATTCTTTCACTTCAATGCACAACCTAGCTTTCGGAATTGACACGTAGGTGTCGCCTGAAGCAAACCATGATCAGAAATGTCTGGAAAATGTTCCAACTTCCTCAAACAATCAGAAGAACATTAAGTAAGAAAACGCGTACATGAAAATATCTTAGAATTACCCAAATGGAGAGGAAAAAAAAAAACCAGGGAACAAAAATCCCGAAAAAAATTATCGTGGAAGTTTGGAGAGGAATTGAAAAGATACCGTTATCCCAACAATCACAGCGTCCTCAAAATAACTGATGCACATCTGCCAACCTTGAAACCATTCATTTGAATTATATTTTTCGCTGCAAAATCGATATGGGATTCTGGCATTTTCTGCCTTCATGATCGAAGCTTACACACCATCACACCATGATAATTCATTATTCCATCATTCTTTGTCAAAAATTACGAAAAGATAAACTTCATGAAGAAACCTTTCAAAAATCTCGAGCAGCCAGAAAATAAACGTACTTGTCGAGTTTTCTGGTCACGTATCTTCAGAAGATTGACGATTTCAAGTGCATCCAAACCGCACAAAGTTTCTATCACCTGTAAGAAAGGGCGTG